CGTGTGAACCCGGGCGGTCCCTTCACGTGAACAGCCTGGAATGGGGCTCCGTCGGGTGGGCTGTGGGGTTCTGGGGTTCGCGGACTCGCGTTTCGGGTTCGGCGCGTTGTGTGAACCCAGCCAGCGGAGTTGGCGGGATGCTAACGTGGTGGAGCCTTGATGATAATGATGATGATGATGATGATTGAAGGGGGTGCAGCCGACGGGGGTTCAGGGTGTTATTTTTACTCACAGTCTTGGTTCCGTTGAGATGCCCCCTCAACCACCGTGCGACTCCAGGGCAACGTATGACGTATTAAGACAAGTAAAGAAACAATAGTAAACAGTACCAGTTAAAAAATCTGCCAACGTGGGGAAGGAGACGCCAGGGACCAAGTTAAAAAAAAAAAAAAGCCTTGCTGTCATTGCGGGGTCATAAATCGCCCGTCCTTTGTGTTCCCGGAGGAACTGTATTTTCTTCAAGGCAGTAAAAGTAGCCTGTTACTGTACAACTAGAGGGACTCCTCTGTTTTGGCCAACACTTAGATTGGACTTTGGGACACCCGGAAAATGGAGAGAAAAAGTTACATGGACAGGATGCTGGAAAATGCGAGTCTGAGTGTGGGAGAGACAAAGAAGCATTTTTTTCCTGGCCTCTCAAAGGCTCCACTGTGGAGTTGTGCAGCTTGGCTTCGCACAACGGCTTATGCAGAACTTTTCCCCCCCCATCTTTTTCCAGGGGCAGTTTTTTAGAGAATGGTGGTTGGCTTTTCATCTGGCCAGGTTCAAAGTGGCATCTTCTAAATGTGTTGCACTGCAACTCCCATCATTTCCAGTCAGGAGGGCCTGATCTAAAGGCTTTACTGTATTATAAGATGCAAAAATGTAAAAATGCAATTAGTACTAGTTATAAGATGTAAAAATGCAATTAGTACTAGTTATAAGATGTAAAAAATGTAATTAGTATTAGTTGTCCCTTGATAAAGTGAGGCCGAGCCATCAAATGATTGGATTTAATTGGTTTTAAATTTTCAAGAACACTTGGTTAAATGGAGTAAAAGGTGTAGATCGTACAGAACTGGAAGAGATAGCAGATCCTTTGGAAGACAGAAACAAAATTCAAAATAGGCTAGAGAGAAGTGGACTGAGATTAACAAAAGAAATCTTAATAGACACAAATGCCAAACTGGGGGAGAAACTAAATTTAGTGTTTAGTGTGCAAATTTAGAATGAGGAATTCCAGGTTTGGTAGTAGTATGTATGAAAAGGGTCTTAGAATTGTAGCTGAGCGTGAGTCAATATGATGGGATGCTAAAGATCAATATGATTAGCTGCTAAAATGTAAATGCAATTTTGTGCTGTATCAATCAGTGTAAACTTTCCAAATCACAGGAAAGGAATAGTTCTATTCTATTCTGTATTGATCAGACTCTACACTGAGTATTGTGTACCATTCTGAGCATCATGTTTTAAGAAACATTCAGAAAAACTGGAATGAGTGTAGAGAATGGCAGTGAGAATAATCAAGGACTGGAAAGTAAGCCTTATAAGGAGGAACTGAACTATATGTAGCCTTGAGAAAAATCCCTTAAGGGGAGATGTAATATGGGAAGAAGAAAGCCACAATCTGTTCTTTGTCATTCCATTATGCAAGGTCTGGAATAAGGGTCTTAAGTCACAGGAAGACAGATTGTGGTTGAATGTTGGAAAAAACTTTCTAGCAATAGTGGAACCCATTACTAAGGGAGATTGAGGCTGGGTGTGCTCAGTGAAAGACCCGGTAACCCTTACTGGCAATACTACAGTTTGGATTCCTGCCCTGGGTGGGGGTTGAACTCAGTGACTTAAATGATTTCTTTTCATTGTTTTAATTATTGAGCAGTTTACAGAAATCAATAGTGGAAGAAGATACAGGGGAAGCTTTGCTCCTTCTAACAGGTCTGCAAGTGTGGAAGTTTGACTGAATTATTTCTTACCTGAATTGTTTCCTAGTTAAAAATCTCCAGCCTTGTGCAACTAGGTAGCAAGGTTAAACAGAGTCTGGCACTGGGCTCTTGTGGTGTCTATGCCCACAGCACAACCTTTTTCTTAAGAACCTAGAGAGAGCTAACCATGTCCTGTGAAGTAGCTTGTTCCTGGCTTGAGCCCAAAAGATAAATAACAGCAGAGGGGAAAAAAAAGCATGAACAGAAAGAAATGGTCAGGGCAAATGGACAAAATGTGTTATTCTAGTTCAGGTGTATGACTAAATTGCAGTTGCACATTCATTTTGTAGATGAGTGTTTCATTTTCTTTGGTCTTAAATAGGCTCTTTTTAAAGGTAATTCGGCTCAGGAATTAGATAAGATACCTGGTAATGCTACTTAAGGGTAGTTCAGGGAACAGTTGCCTCTTATCCTTTATATAAAATTCCATATTGTTTTTCTTCAGGAAAATTCTTCTTGTCTTCTGGCTCTTGTGGACTTGGGGTGCACAAATTCTTTAGCTTGAAAGTGGTATTCAAAATCAACAAGGGTGACATTTAAGAAAATTAGGGGTAAAATGAGGATCCCCTTATCTCCCCAATTAACTGAAATCTGCACAGTGTTGAGAAACACTCCAGTGGGTACAGATTGCGTTGCGTAAAAAGGAAGAGAGTGTGAATAAACAGTGGCCTTTAGAATGAGAGCTGCCCTCATGTTTATATTCCTCAGATGGTGTTAGTATCTTGAATAATTCTCTGAGTATTACAAATATGTTATAGGTTGTTAGCATGGAGGACATGCGTGTGGTCTTTGTCAAGGTGTTTTTATATAATGTTAGTGGCTTTGAAGCAAAACGCAAAGAAATGTTTTATTAAAATGTGAACTGCACCAGGCCCCTATTGCTTTAAAGAAATTACCCCTGTGACTATTTGACTTGATCTCTTTCTTTGGTCTAATTATTGGCTATTTTAGTGCTTTGTATTTTTGTTAACCCAGATTCCAGCATCTTCACATGCCTTGGTCCAATATACTGCTATGTAGAATATTGCTGTCTGTCCTCTGCTTGACCTTGGCAATGTCTGTATCATTTTCCAGCCCACATGCCACCAATTAAACTCTGGTAGCCTAGAAGGGAACTCTCATGGATCCATACCGTGGTCAATTAGAGACAGCAATTTCTTGTCCCATCTTGTATCTGCATGTCATAAATTGTCTCTTTTAGGTTCCTCAACAGAGTCCAGAGACCTCCCTGCCTTTGATGTCCTGTCTACAGGCCTTTTGTTAATCTGCTGCCTCCTAGCTAATACCCAGTAGCGCTGGCAGTACCCGCTTCTGAAGATCTGAAGTGTTTCAGTCTACATTGTTGCACTGGATCTGTTTGGCCTCACATCCGAAAGGAGATCCATGTATACCCCAAGTGGTTCAGTGTTGCCTAGTGGCCGAAGGCGAAGAGGCCAAGATGGGAGTGCCTTGCCAAAGCAACCCGAAAGGAGCTTGGCCTCTGCGTTGCCTGGGGCACTCTCAATAACTGCCCTGTGTACTGCCCTGGCAGAGCCTGCCTGGCTACGGATTCATGGGGGCACTTGTTCTCGCCAGGAGCTGGGTGTTGCCGATGTGCTTGGATACATTGACCCGGATCTACTTAAAGGTGAGAAGGAAATGTGGGCTGAATGGGTACTGTTAAAGATAACTATAGACTGGTCTGTGTGCCTGATCCTCTGCTGCTCATTTGGCCAAAGTCACGGTCACCTAGGTCAGTGTTTCTCAACCTCAGCAACTTTAAGATCCGTGGACTTATGCAACCTGGCTGGGAAATTCTGGGGATTGAAGTTCATGCATCTTAAAGTTGCTGAGGTTGAGAAACATTGACGTAGGTGATAGATGTGCTGTAGTTTTAAAGTAATTTCTCGCAAAGGGGGAATCCATTTCTAGTGGAGACCTGCTGGTAGAAAGGAAATTTCTGCTTCATTGTAAAGAGTATATCAGTGTCATGCTTTCTCTTATTAAATCTGAATTTTGTCGTGAGGTTCAGCAAGTAGAGTTCTGAGGTTCTAGGCTATTAACCCAGAGTTAATAAATGTGGTAGCAGAACTTATGATATTCAGTGTTGTGGTCCCCACCTTCTTGAACTCTATCAAACTGTGCAATTTCATAGGCATGCTTGCTTGGAGATGCAGCCTCTGGTAGAGCATACTGTCAAGTAGGATTGTAGCCAAGCTGGGTCATCTGGGGAAGGTTAGGCATCTAGTTAGCTCTGATTAATTTTGAGTCTTGGAACATGGATTTCATCCTATTTTCATAAGGCTATATTTAGAGTACAAACAAATCATAACTTGCAGGTTTGCCATTATTACATAGGGAACAAAGTGCATAACTGTTGTTCTATTCAAAGAACTTAGCGCTTCAATTCTTCCTCCTCTCACCACTTCCTCCACATTTTTTTCTCATTCAGCTTGATGCTGGTATCCTGTAAAGAGCAAGGTCCACTTACTTGTTAAATATGGTGCAAAATATAATTGTGCATGGGGGTGGGTGTCACCAATAAACAAATAGTCAGGATAAAAATTCAGCCATGCAGTTGGTTAATTTTCAGGCATACCACTGGCTGGTTATCAGTAGTTCTCTAACGGTCTCCCTCACTTAAAACAGTGCCCTTAAAGTTCCTTGAAAGGCCCTATCAGAGACTTCTGGTCCTCCTGTTCTACCGTGACATGAACAAATCATTCATTTTTTTGCTATCTGTGCCTGGAAATCTCAGAAGCTTGCATAAAGGTCACAATTTTTCTTTGAAAAAAGTAATGGTTCCCATGTAGTTTAACCCTATAGCTCCCTAGATGTAGAGAGGAAGGAAGGTGACCTTGATAGAAATATGTAAGAACTGTTATCTAGGCAAAAGTGGCTGAAACATTTTTTAAGTGAGATAACAAGAAAACATTCGAAAGTGGCTCTTTTTATTGATTTTCATATAATCTCTTTGATTGTTGTGAGCTGTTGAGAGTCAGGTGGCATACAAGTTAATAAATTATTGTTAGTATTATTGTTGTTATTATTATTAATATCATTATGCCACACTGACTCACTGGAGTATAAGAAGGGAAGGAAGGTACGACACAATCAGACTTGCAAGATTCTGTTGTTATAGCCAATCTCAGTAAAGATAGTTTTAGCCTTCTTGTGGAGTTGATTTCTTAGCCTGGTCTATTAGGGAGGCTAACACTATCCCTCACCAAAGTGAAGACTAAGGAAATCAGCCAGATTTTCACATTCTCATTCCTCGTTTTCTTTAACCTTCCTCCATCCTCCCTTGTTTGTCTGCAATCACCATTTTGAAAGTGGATTATTTGGGTCATGAGCCTGGGTTGATTTGTTTGCTCTTTTGCATACATACCATCCCACCAAAAAACTCATATTCGCAGGTAGTTCAGTTGATCAGACACGTTTCTTCATACTGAAATGAGGTTGACTCATTGCCAGCTAATCTTGTCCTATACATCAAGCTCTGATATCCTTTTTGGTATTAGATTATGACTGCGCACTTGCTCCGTGTGAAACATCCTAAAATTGAACACAGTCTTCTGGATTTTTTGTTGCTTGTAGCTATGGTGAGCTGTCATTAGAACAGGATTTCAAGTTTCTTGAACTGGGAGGAGCTGCATGCAACAGATTGTGAACAAAGTAAAGCAGTTCTTCAAAACCCCAACATCTCTGTTCTGGTTCTCCAGAAGTTGGTTTTGGAGGATGAAAAATTGTGAGGGTGAAAAATGTAAATCACATTTAAGCAGGAGCACTTTTTTGGCATCCATGAGGTCTAAATCCACTGAGTTGCTAATGGAAGAAGTAAATCTCACTAATTCACAACCTGTACACTTGACAAGATGGAACACGGTGGAATCAACAAATAAATCAGCCTTTCACAAAAATGAATCAAGTATGAATGTTTGTATTGGTCCACCTGCCCCATCGATATCTGTACCAGCAGTTGTAGATCCGAATGGAAGGGAGTTTCATAGATCTCCCTGTTTACAAAGATTTGCTTTCTGGTCACCTAGAAACAATTTTTGTTCCATAAGCAAGGGGCTGTTTACACACCTGATGAGAGAAGTACTTGATTTTTTCCCCCTAAATTTGACAGTCTCTGAATGTTCTGAGAGCAAGAGAAGAGTATCTAGGCACATGGGGTGAACATTAGGAATATATGCATAGGCCAGGACTTGAATTCATTTTTGAATTCAAGAAACTTGATTTTGCAAAACAACACCTATTCTCAGATGGTTGCATTTGTAATGCAACATGTCAGATTATTTCTGAAAAAGAATTTCAGCAGTTTTGAAATGGGGGAGATGCCAAACTATGCTTCTAAAAAGTCACGAATTAAGCAGCTAACAAAATATGTTTGTGGAACTTAAATCATGCTTGAGGACTATAGCGAGCGCTAGACATAATACTGATGTGTTATAAAAGTATTAATCCAATGTTTTCTGGATCATATTTGTTTGAAGGCTCAAAGTACGCCCCCCCCCCCGTTATAAAAGGAATGCAGCGTTTGGGGCTGTGGACCACTTTCAAGTTTGGAGTGTTGGGATTGCCACACTCAGCAGTCACATGATCATGATCTGGGTACTTGGCAACCAGCTCGCACTTACGACGGTTGCAGCATCCTGGGGTCACGTGATTGCCATTTGCGACCTTCCCAGCTGGCTTCCATCAAGCAAAATCAATGAGGAACTATGTGATTCGCTTAATGATTGCAGCAAAAGAGGTTGTAAAATCGGGTATGGTCATGTGATGATTTGCTTAACGACCATATTGCTTAGCAACCTAAATTCTGGTCTCAACTGTGGTTGTTAAATGAGGTCTACCTGTAAATTAATTACTTTCCTCCCCAAAAGCATTGTACTGCCTCCTCAGCCCTTCCTTCTGTTCTCCCTTGCCTCAGTATCGTCCCAAGCTTACTGGACAACGCCTCTTTCTGTTTCTTTTTCAAAGCATTTCAGTGAGCATTTGGGAAACAGCTGAGTCCCTTCCTTTTCCTTTTTCTTTCAGGGCTCACCTGGGAATCAGAGGGGGAGGTCAGATGATAGGAGGCCAGAGCTGTGCTGCTTTTTCTCTGTCCTGAATAATTAAAGGAAATAAAAATCAAAGTGAACATCAGGAGAGAGGGACCTCAGATGTTAAAGGGAGTTTCTGGGGCTGCTTGGACATCCAGAAGCAGCATGTTGCCAATCTCAGTCTTATAGTCTGAAAGAGTAATTTTGTTTCACTTAAGAAGCCCCCCCACTCCCAAATTTATAGGAAGTTCCATTTCGGATTCTCAGTGACGGGCGTATCTCACAAGATTCTTACCTGTTTATTCTGCTTAATGGGAGTTTTTACGGTTCAGCTTGTTGCTGTGGCAGGAGCCACAAGATAAGACAGTAGAGCACATTTAAGTAGGTGAAAAGATCCTTGAGGAAACTGTCAAAGTGAAACAACTCTTGATCCGAGACGTGGTTGAAATATGAGTCAAACAGCGTTGTCAAAACAAGACAAAGACTTGAAGGAAGTTCTGCACCGCAGAGGAAGCTGGAAAGAACTCTGGCTGAGTCAAGCGTCCTGCTAAAAGGCATTAAAAACAGGCCTTGTGATCATAACAAGATTGCAGCTGAGCAGCTCTTCAGGAGCAAAAGCTCAATATCGATGACCAGTGAGAGAATCCTAGGGCACTTGCCCTGCTTCTTGTTATTACTGTAAACAGACTGCTGGAAATATCACACAAATATGGATTTGATTATTAGACACCTCAAAATATAATTTATTTAAAAGAAAAACAAATTACTGCCTACAGTCACTTGGAAGCATATTTTATTTCACGGTGAGCTTTGGAAACACGGGAGTATTCATTCCTGGGATTCCACTGTTCCAGGACTGAACTGCTGCACAATTCACTCTTGATCAACCAGTATCGCCATTATGTGTACATGATGATTGTTGCATTAGCTGTATTTAATTGCGCTTTTAATTCTGTTAGCCACCTAGTATCACTGTTTGCAAGATGGGCAGCCATATAAATTGACATAAATAAATAAAGGTTCCTATAAATTACTTGTAATATCCCTGGGTATGAAGAAATATACAGTATTTATCCCCATAAAAACTAGGAGGCTGTTCTTACTTCGCTGAGAAACAAGTCCAAATAGAAAACTATCTGACTGAGTGTTTTGTCAAATAAAGACTGAGCTTCAGTTTTAAATAAGGCCCTGTGATTCGGTACTGTGTTCTTGGAGGGTCTGGGGGAGAATCCTGTCATGTATGCTTATGGAAGAGACATTTGTTTTAGCTCAATGGGTGCATCTTAAAGGTAGAATCTATACCAGGCTAGAGCATTTCATGATGCTGCATTTATGATGAAGCTAACGAACACAAGACCAGCATAGAACAAAGACTTTACTGCCTGAAAATTTCTATAACCAGCACTAGCATTATGAGAATTTTATTTTTGTCTTTAGGATAGCCTTCGTAATAATCCATGTTCATCTATTAAACATAATTTTCTATAAACCACCCAGTTTGAAATGTTTTCCTCCCACCCAGCCCAGCCTTCTGTAACTTTGGCCCCTTGAGATATGTGAATTCCTAGAATCCTCAGCAACAGCTTCACTGGTTGGGGAATTCTGGGAGACAAAGTCCACCTATCTGGAGAATACCCCGGTAGGGGAAGGCTAGGGTATCCTTTACTGAAATCAGAATATTCAGTAAACAATATTGCAATGCACTGTAGACATTCTGGGTTATAAATTGAAAGATTGAATTTGTGAAATGATGAGGAATTCCTGGTCAAAAGTAACGCCACTAATGGAAACTACTTTTTGATTCTGTCTTCATCCTTCCAGACTACTGCATGAACCCCCAGACGGTGTTGTTACTTCGGGTTATCGCTGCTTTCTGCTTCTTGGGAATCATCTGCAGCCTTTCAGCCTTCCTCCTGGATGTCTTCGGGCCCAAGCATCCTGCACTGAAGATTACTCGGCGTTATGCATTTGCTCACATTCTCACAGGTAGCTGGAGTGCGCTGACCTCCTATTACATTTTATGTTCCTTTTCCAAGTTCACACGAGCCTTCCGCAACCGTCCACTCCTCTTACTGGTCCATCAAATACATTCACCTTTTTCCATACATGCTTGATCTTGAGCCTTGACCAAACACAGCTTTATTTGCATGTTTCTATCATGCAGATTTTTCCCTCATGAAATTTTAGAGCTTATGTGCCATATTGCTGTATAAAATCCCATCTGCATTGAAGGCACAATTAAATTATCCATAATTAGTTGGATCAACAAGATTCCTTACTTTTTTTGCTTTCTGCATCAGTACACTTCAGTCTTTGGCCCTTGGTTTGGCTATATGCCACAGAATAATCTCAAAATAATGCTATGAGGGTATAGCAAAAAAAATTGGCAAGACATTAGACCACCTTTTGAAGTATATTCAGGTTATATCCTATGTTTCCATTAAAAAATAGTCGTAAGGCATCTAATATATTGATAAAATTATTAAATTATACTGTAATTTTAACAGTAAAATTACAGTATAGCAGTTGTTAAAACAACATCATCTTCAATAACAGAACAGTTTAAATGCCTGAATAAAAGTGGCTTTGCTTTGAGGCGAAAGGCCAACAGAGCCAAAGCATGGGAGCAGCGATTAAGAAGGCCTCTGAAGTTTTATTGAATCTCCCCATCTTGCAACAGTGCAGATGCCGTTAACTTTTATTCAGTGCCAACTCATCCTCTTCCTGTGGCTGCTCTTATAAGCCAGAAGGGGGTATGATACAACAGCCCCCAGCTGTCTAAGGATGCAATATCATAATTGGTTGCATTGCTCCCGGTACTGGTAAAAACCAGAGTATTTGGCTGCTACTCAGAGAAGGGTGTTCCAGCATGATCCTGTCAGCTCCTGGGCCTTTTCTTCCTTCCAGTGGTCCACTTGGGATTCTGTGTAGGAATCAAGAAGATCCCTAATTGGCTCATCACTTTCCTGGTCTGGCCCATCTTACTTTAAGCCTCACCATGTTGTGATGCACCCATCACAGGGGCACTCCAGGCCTTTCATGCAGGCTGCCCATTCCACCAACACAGGAAACCAGATCTCAGGTGTCCTTTGCTGAGAGAAATGGGCCAGATATATCCATGGTGGTCATCAAGGGCTTGGAGACCTGAATCATTCCTAAGATGGTGCAACACCATTAACCTGTTCTGGAGGCCTGGGGCCACTTTGGCTAATTCAAGAAGAAGGATTGTAGAGCAAATAGTTTGCCTAAAGAACCGCCATCTTGTCCCAAACCCCAGACTTCAGATAGGCACACTCCAAATCGAAAAGCTGTGAGAAAACTTGGTCAGGAGATAAAATCGCACCCCCTTGTCTTCGCAAAGGCCACTGGGAGACGAGGTAGAGATAACCAGTAAAGAGTCATACTCAGAGCATTTTGTCTAGTCAGTTCTCCAGAACACAAACCAGGTCAAGAAGTTCATTCAGTTTCAAATCCCGAACGATCATTTCTCTTCCCCCCACCCCCCATTTGCTATTGGCATTTTTGTTCTCTTAACTCCCCCCCCCCCATCTGTCTGCTTTCCACTTTGGTCTGCGATCTGTAACATTCGTCGTAAAGACCATAATGGTTTGGAAAAGCAAGACAAAGTACGTTCAGCAGATGAATGAGATGATGCAAGCCCTTTGGCTCCCCACCAGCATCCTGCATGTGGTATCTGGGGGGGTGGGGGGGTGTCAGCCTGAGAAAGAGGCATTGCCCATGGCCTCATTCCCGGTGTTTCCGCCTGTCTTTTCCTTCTGCCCGCAGTGCTGCAATGTGCCACGGTGATTGGGTTTTGCTACTGGGCCTCGGAGCTGATTCTTGCACAGCAGCAGCAGCACAAGAAGTACCACGGCTCGCAAGTGTACGTTACGTTTGCCGTGAGCTTTTACCTGGTGGCTGGAGCCGGGGGGGCATCGATCCTGGCCACGGCTGCCAACCTGCTGCGCCACTACCCCACCGAAGAAGAGGAGCAGGCCTTGGAGCTCCTGTCCGAGATGGAGGAGAATGAACCTTACCCCGCAGAGTACGAAGGGATCAACCAGTTCCAGCCCCCACCGGCTTACACCCCATAATGCTCCCCCTGGATGATGGCTGGGGCAAGGAGGATTTCTTCCAGCCCACCCCCAAAGTCAACCTGCACACAATTGCTTGGGAATACGTTCCCTTCTCTTCCTGGAACCTCGCGTGGGCGCTTCTCCCCTTCTCCCCCCCCTCCAGTGATTTGCTCACTTGTACCGTTTCCTGGCTAGGGAGAGGACAGCTGCCCAAGCAGAAGACTTGCTCGTGCAGTGGCCTCTGAAGCAGCCGCGTTCTGAAGCAATTGGGTGACCGTTGGGGGCTGGGTTCTGAACCTCGTGCGTTAAGGGGCCACACGAACTGCCCAGCATTTTCCAGCTCCAGCTTCTAGCAAAGAGCTGCAGAACTCGGGGGCTCCAGAGAGAGGCCTGAAGAGAGGAAAAGCCAAGCTGCTTCAGGAAGAGGATGTGAAAAAGATGGCATGTAGACAGCTTGATCTGAGTGGGAAAGGGCTGGGGGTGGGGGGGAGGGTTCCACCATTTTTGGCATTGCGCTGAGATGTTTCACGCTGGTGGGGGTGTAGGCCAGAGGAAATTCAGCGGTCCTGTAGTGCCACCCGCAGAGCCTCTCTCTCTTCTTTGGGGGAAGAGTGGAAGGGGACTCTCAGATGTCCCCACCTAGGGCCAATGTGCTCGGCCTTCAGCACCCTGAAAGATGGGATTCCTCTATGCACTGGTTTGTGGAGAGGGGACACATTTTGGTCGAACCTTGTGCTTCCTGAAAAGCATGGTTAAGTTTGCTTCCACCATTGTTTCATCCACTCCCACATTCTGCCTCCTGCGACTTCGCAGAAGCGTTTTGCACTTTCTTTGCTGTTCTTGCAGCCGCCTCTTTCCCTAAGCAATGGGGGGGAGGGAGGGGAAGGGGCAACAAAACGTGGCCTGCTCCAGGATATTGCCACTACTGAGTTTGTCTTGAATAGATTGGACTCCTGTCTATGGCAAGGAATCCCGGGGCTGTCCTTCCAGTTGGCACTCCTGTCGCACAGTTGCCAGGCCTTCAGCCCGCCCCGCAAAGCAACATATCAGAACCACATCCTTTCCCCTCCAGTCTCCAGACTATATGCAAATACTGATTCCAGGCTTGACTTCCGTGGTTACCTTTTCGGTTTGTCTTTTCTGAACTGACTCCACCCTTATGTCTCAAACCGTCTCCATAGCCCCTGAGCTGATTCTTCTGACCAGCCAGTGTTTCACAGGCAGAAGTCACCCTCTTAGCTGCAGGTAGTAACTGAAAGAGCATTTCAGAGTTCGCTTTCTGTACAAAGAGAATATGGTTAACCTTTTTCTTTTTCTCTGCATTGAGGTAAATCTGCTTTGAATAAGCCAGCAATGTTTTGTATTCACTAAAATGTGCTTTTACTGACTGCGGGAAGCAGCTTACATGAAACAGAGTGAGAGGCCTATCAAGGAATGCATGTGTATTTTAAAGGAAGATTGAGATTGTAAAACAAAAAAGTAAAACCGGTTTTACTGGATGGAAGTTTGTTCCTATTCAACTAGGTGAAAAGATCATACAGTGAAACCTGACTGAGATGTTGGAGGATGTTTTCTATGATATTGATGCTGAAGCTACCCTCTGAGGGTTCTTTTGTCTTTCAAACTTAGAGCGGACTTTAATTCTTCTCTTATCTGTGCCAGTTCATGCAGAGAACTGGAAAGGCTCTACAGCCTGAGCATTTTAACGTGCTGCCAGTATGAACTGGTATAAGGCTTGAAATGGAGAAAGATAACCCTTCTATGTTCTCTTAATTGCATGGAAGAAAAATTGGAAGAGAACTTTTATTAGACTCTGAAGACTTCTAAAAGATGTGGAGGAGGAGGACAAAGCTGTGGAATGTAGAAGAAACCTGACCATTTTTTTTTAAAGGTAGTTAAATTATGTGTCCCAATCTCACTTCTGTGCTTTCCACCTGCTCACAAAACAGCCTGTAGCAATGGCAGCGGGGCCTTTTGCTCCCTTCAGATTGCTTCCCAAGCATAATTTGGCTGCAAATGTTGTGCACACTTTTACTCTTTCCACCTGATCTCTCGTCTTTGGATCTTGAAGGGTGTAATGGAAAAACATGGTTGCTCTGTTCTCCTTTTCTGGTCCAAGGCAGAGAAGCAGTAAGGGAACTTGACTCATCTTCAGAATAACTGGCGGCCTCATTTGCCTTGTTTCAATAGCAGGACTTCGTGAAAACCTTCTCCACATAATCTGCATATGATTGTTTTTAGACCTAGAGCATCGTTCATGAAGCACTGTTGATTAAATCCATTGGTACTGGATTCCTTTTTCTACCAAAAATAAAACAAGGGTGTAAATAGCCTCTTACCAAATATTTGAATTACAGCTCGTAAGGAATGATCACAGGATTAGGGAGCCCTGTGCGGCTTCCTCCATCAGGAAGTGCAAACCCAACTTGGCCAGTATCTCTCTACATGTTGGCTGGCTGCCTGCAAAGGCGACTGTTCTGCATTTACATGTTTCTATTTTTTTAATAATAGCTGCATTGCAGTGCATTTACTCTTGTCAACCCACCTTGAATCTCTCTTTCTTCATAAAACTAATGCACAATAAAGGATTAGAATACCAGAAAAAGAACACCCTTTCTACGAAGGCTGGAGCTGAGGAACAGGATTCAGTGAAATAAGGTCTTCTCACGAAATGCTTGCCCAACAGAAGAACATTACATCCCTGCCTGAAGATGCTTCAATTAAAAAAGGAATTCCGTTCTAAAGTGATGCAGTGATGCAAGATCAGCAGTACGCGTGCTACCGAGGGTATTACTGTTAGAATACCGTGAGAGCTGTGGTGCAATGGAAGTCATGCCTACTGTTGCTCGAATGGAGTGTAATCCTTGGCCAGCATCGTTGCTTGTGTGGAGGGAGACAACACTGCTTCCCCTTGTTCTCCGGATTATCCAGCTCATTGGAAATCAGCCTGAGAATGCATTTCGGGGAAGAGCATCTGCCCGAGAGAGGAGGATGACGTCTCACATTTTAAAAATATCGAGCTCTTTTTTCTTCCAATTCCTCCCTCCCTCCATATTATTCTTACCATGTCCTTTTAAAGATGGCATTGTACCCATGCAGGAGACGCCACAGTACCGGTCCCCGCCTGTCGCGCAACTCAAAATTTCCATTCCATTTACAAGAGTAGTCGCTACTTAAATGATTTTTAAGAGATTTTGGTTTCCTAACCAGACGATCAGTTCTGAATACAGGTAAACGTTACACCTCCACGAAGGTGCTGTTTTGAGGATCCTGTGGAAGGGAAATATTTCTGAAATAACTTCATGTTTTAATAAAAGCTACCACCTATTTTAGACGTCTCCTCCTTAAAATGTTTTAATTACTGAAATCATGTGGATTATTCCTTGTAATGGCAGGTTAAAAAAAAAAAAAGTAAAGCTGCCTTCAAGTTTTTTTGGGCAATAACATGGAAGTGGTTGCTTTCTTTCAAGTGCAAGACCAGTGGCAGAAATTAGTTAAAAACGTGTTAGTAGCATGGATAGTTCAGGGTTAGAGGATGTGCTGCAATTGTTTTTCCATACTCTTCATGGCAAATTGAAATAATACTCCAGATCGGTGTTCCTCAACCTTGGCCACTTTAAGAGGTGTGGACTTCAACTCCCAGAATTCCCCTGCCACCCAGAATTCTGGGAGTTGAAGTCCACACCTCTTAAAGTGGCTAAGGTTGAGGAACACTGCTCTAGATAGCTTGAGAGGTCCAGTGGCTTCCAAAAGGAAAAGGACCGTTTTAATGGAGATATTGATTTTGTTTTGGGAATATTCCCAGAAAACACCATTATGAGCAGCTGTAGTAGCATTAGGTATTGCTGCCCTTTTTCTAATGAGCCTAAAGAGAAAAAGGGTTTGAAATCTCCAAGTGGGGCGATTAAGGGCAGGAAGCCTGCATTCTGTTGGGATGTTTGCATGGGGGAGTGCTCCTTTGCTTTCTCTCCACTAGGTGGCAGTTTTCAGCAGCTCTCCAAATGCCACATGGGATAGTCCTTGGATGGGAGACCACCAGGAAATTATAGTATGGTAAGGCAGTGCTGGCGATGCCGGCTGGGGAATTCTGGGAGTTGGAGTCCACCCCTCTTTTTTTTTTTATTAAAACTTTTATTAAGATATATAAAAAGTACAGTTAAGATACAAATCAAAAAGTATAGAAAAAAGAAGATAGAACTAAAAGAAAAAGACAGAAACTAAAATAGAATAGGTAGATGAAACGAAAAGTGACTTCCGACTATCTCCAATACGGATACAAGTACAAATTTGAAAAAAGTTAATCTCTTGCCACTAATTAATTCAAATTCACATTATTTCTATCAACACAACCCATCATTAAATCCCACAATCAAAGCTTCATTTTTTCCCAACCCAAGCACGTAATTTAGGAAGGGTTGCCATGAGGAGACAGAAACAGTATTATCTCTTATTAAAGCTGTTCACTTTGCCATTTGAGCCAAGTCCATTAATTTAATAATCCATTCTTCCACTGTAGGTATTTATGAATCTTTCCATCTTTGCACATATAATAGTCTTGCCGCTGCGGTCATGTATAGAAGCAAAGTTCTATGTTGTTTCTCCAATCCTTTCTCCATCAAACCCAGTAGAAACAATTCTGTTTTTTGTTTTTTTTAATGTTCACTTTAAGAATCTTTTGAATAGCAATGCATATCTGGTCCCAAAATGTTTTGGCCTTTTCACAAGTCCACCAAAGATGATAAAAGGTTCCTTCACCCTTTGAACATTTCCAACATTTGTTATACCCGTATACATTTTTGATAACTTATCAGGAGTTAAATACCAGCGGTACATCATTTTATGAAAAAAATTCTTTTAAATTATAATTCAACGTAAATTTCAGACCTTTTTTCCCCCATTGTCCCAACACGATATTGTGTCCAAAGTTTTTATCCCATTTAATCATACGTTCCTTGACTTGTTCGCCTTCTAGGTTCATCTGTAGCAACATCTTATACATTTTAGCAATACCATGTTCATCATTTGTACAAAGCTGAGTCTCAGAGTAAGACATTGCATTAACCAATCTATAGTTCTTTTCATCCAGCTTAAAACGTTCAGACAATTGCGTATGAGTAAACCAATGCCATAGAGAGCCTTCTAACTGCTCTCTTGTTTTAAAACTTGCTTCGCCCTCCTCAAACTATAGTAAATCCCTGTTTTAACCACTTCGTTTCTCCCACATTGTCTCTTCTAGTAAAGGAGTCCGCCCCTCTCCGGGCGGCAGAGGCTGACAACCGCTGCGCCCCCCGGGCAGAGCAGCGCAGCGCAGCGCGCGCTTGCGAAGATCCCGAGCGGTCGCTGCGCGGGAGGAAGACGGGGCTGGGAGAGCCCAAGCGCAGCTCGAGCCATCTGGGAGTCCTGCACGGCTCTGGACTGCATCTCCCGTCGTCCTAGCGGGCTGGAGGGCCCTGAGGCAAGGCTGGCCCAAGCAGCCTGATGCCGCCAGCCGCGCTTCACGCCGGCGCCGCCCAGGCAGCCCCGGCGGGGTCCTCCTGTCTCCAAGGCGCCCTTGAGTGGGTCACAAG